ATCCTACTACATTTCAAACAATAATGATTTATAGCTTTTGTCTTGAAAGTTTGTTACGCAGTTAAACCACCATGAAAACTGTTGACCGAAGCCATACCAAGCATAGGTCTATTACAACTGTAATGGAACCCAATTCATGAGGTCTGGGCACCCAAAGGTAGACCAGAGACCAGGGTTAAGTCCGGCTAATAGAACCTAGACAATACAATCAGGGGAAGAGTAAGGGAAGAAGGGAGGAAGAGGTAGAGCAAGAGATTTACCTCAAGACCCAAGTTATAAGATCACGGAAATGAAAGAACATAAATAAAAGCTTAATCTCTACAATATACCAGGGTTTCATTGCAGATATACTAACCTGGGCTTCTAAAAACATCGAGATCTTGTTATACTGCTAGTCTTCCCCCAATTAAAGAGATCCCTAATTGACAGCTGTATGGGAATATACGTAAATAAACTAGAAGCACTCAGAGCGCATACCTCCGCCAAGGCAATAGGATATCATAATAATTCAAAGCATCAAAAGGTTGTCCTAATCTCGCGATGCTAATGATGATCATAATTCTCCTTATTGTAACTAATGGAGTCATTAAAAAAAATTATGGATCCGAATCATGGTAGAATTTTTATAAAAATCTGTTCATAACTTTTTGAGTCATTTGGCTAACCTTCAAACAAGCTAACCAATGCTGCTAAGAAATAGCCTCCCTGGTGGAGATAATAAAAAGAATAGATGAATAAACAGAATTAATCATGCTTGTCATCTTAAGTGAGCTAATGCATTATTTTACTCCTTTGGCTAGAAGTGTACGTTATTCTTCTTAATACATACATGCGTGTGTGTGTGTGTGTGCATACATACATATATACATATATATATATATATATATATATATATAATATATATATATATATATATATATATATATATATATATATGCCTGCAAACAGATTCCCCGTAAAATCCTCTGTAGTGAACTTGCTGAAGGAAGTCGAAGGGCCGGAGGACCGAAAACGATTCAAAGATCATATGAAAACAACTCAAAAATATGCCTTCAATCCTTCAAATTTGGACGCCCTCGCCTCCAACAGACGAGGTTGGCAAAACATGTGCCGAACAGGAAGTGAGCGGCTCACCACCGACTTCAATGGGGCTGCAGAACAGCGACGCATCTGCAAGTCCAGGATTGGACGAACTAGCCATCAAAAAGTCCATCAACCATAACAAATAAATCATCCTACCTGCAACCATTTTATCATCTCTAATCATCTGTCACCAATTAAGATACGGAGTGAGGTCATCGTCGTCTGCGACGGACTTCTATAAGTATATATATATATATATATATATATGTGGTGTGTGTGTGTGTGTGTGTGTGTGTGTGTGTGTGTGTGTGTGTGTGTGTGTGTATATATAATATATATATATATATATATATATATATATATATATATATATATATATATATATATATATACGCGTGTGCGTGTGTGTGTGAGTAGATGTAAGTGTACAACATATGTATGCACGTGCAAGCATTTACATTACTAACCACGCGTGTGTTTTAACGGTGCTCAAAATTTGGCGATAACTTAAAATTACTACTATAGTTATAATCATATAGAAGGCAATGGGAGAACGCTATTACTCGCTCCTTATATCACTGTTTTATTGACATCATCATCACCGTTATCATTATTCTAGATAATGACTAACGCTTGAAATATGACTAAGGAACTGGGATAATTTGATCAATATCAACGATGCTATCTAATCTTGTACAAAATATCCCTCTCTTCTTATCAGATAGCCAAGTCCTCTGTCCAGAAAATTTGGAAGAAAAACCGAATACCTTTTTAATTATCTATGACAATGTTGAGTTGGAGAAGTGTGTGTCGTTATCGTCGTTCTATAAATGCATAGAACGTGAGGGTATTGACTGAAGTGGTGTAGCTTCGGCATTCTGTGATTTGATAAGAATTATCTTCATTCTGAAGCATTGACGTCGAACGTAACCTAGAAAGAATAGCGGATTGGCGTTCGTCTAATCGGTCTGGATCAGAAGAATACGTATCGCATAGTGATAACGGAGAGCAAGGAGAAATATTGTTACAAATCGCCGCTGTGTATTAATTTCCTCCTCCCCGCCCATGCTCTCCTTGCACGGGATCGCCCTCTGTGATGCGCCTTTTCTTACAGTCACGTCAAAAATCACCCCCGTTTCGAATTCTGCTTCCCCCCCAATACAGCACTTGTTGTATAGTGTAAGACAGATTCGAGGCTTCATTTCACGGCATGACTTTTGTCCCTCACTACATGCGTTGATACCTTATAGCTCCATTTTTGGCAATTCATTCAACCCAACTTACAGCGCCAGTTCCAGCACTGACACCTCCCACTCAATATACTTATCCTGATATAGGTAAATTATTGAACAAGTTGGTCCTATACCTACTTAAAGTAGAGGCTTTTTACATGGTTCCTTGCAGAATATACTGTTTTTGTAAAGTAGCTCCTATATATTTCTTTCCTCACACTCAATTGCTCTATAGTCATTTTTCACATGCTTTTTACCTAGTTTTTTTTTTTTTTGTTTATCATCATTACGATTATTATCATTATCATTTTTATTATCATTGTTATTGCTATCATTACCAATATTACCATACGTATCATCACTACCATTATCACCATCATCGTTATCACCATTGCTATTACCACTATCATCATCCTCATCCTCGTCCCCCTCACCGTAATACATTCATTAATAAGTAACCCACAAAGAACTAGCTGTAGTAAAGACCTTATACATGTTATCAGACTAAACTCGAGTTCACCATCATCCTTATCTCAGCTGATAACAGATAAAACCAACAGCCTGTGTGGTGCAACGACGTAGACACTCGTTAGTTGTCGTGGGTACCGGTGGGTGGCCAGAGCAAGAAAAAGAGTCAGAAAAAAAAGGAAAAACATACAAATACATCGAACATTGTGCGTAAAAGGTGAGCGTGGTTTACTGTCCATTAGATCTCCGGTGGAGCTGCTAACCGGAGCGCTGAGGACTAATGTGATTATGTTAATTAAGCAAAGGATATAGTTATTATTTCGTGATTAGATAAAGTGATTGCAAATCAGATGCTGCTAGAAATTAAAAAAGTAGATAAAAAATAATACCGGTTGCACAAATACCTGGTGTACTACATGCCTTTCCAGAATGATGAGCTTTTTACTGAAGTAAGGCTGCACAAGGCATTGATAGGACAGGATAAGATTATTTGGCTGTGTGATAAGAAATTCCACTCTGCAAGAAAGTGAATCATTGAAAAAATTAATAAAGTGATGGATGCATTTAGTTTAATCTGCGGGTTAATCATAGGTCAATGTTTTATAGAATATTGTTATATGATAACAGATTTAATTTTCATTTGTTAACCTCTGTCAAAGATAATACAAAGCAGGCTTTATAGATAACATATCGGTGCGTAATGAATGGCAAACGATTAGGTCGCAGATAAGCAGTACATTCAAATTGAATTTTTGATGTCATGTTGCTAGGCCGTCCATCAGACATGCACAGAAAACAGATTTGTAATCATATATTCGTGTGGTAAAAAAAATGTTTGATCTACTTCCCCGAACCAAAGGAATGGTGACCGGCGACAACCCGCGCTACCGCCTTCGTGTTTCTTCTGCTCACATATTGTTCTATTATAATATGTATGTGTATGCGTGTGTGTGTGTGAGTGTCTGTGTGCATGTATATGTATGATATATGCATGTATCATATATATATATTATATATAATATATATATATATATAATATATATATATATATGTGTGTGTGTGTGTGTGTTGTGTGTGTGTGGTGTGTGTGTGTGTGTGTGTGTGTGTACATATATTTATGGCATATATACGTATATAGCACATATATGTCTATACACTATTTTGCTTGCGCCCTGTCTGGCGAATGGAACTCAATGGTCACAGAATACTCTACTCGTATGTACAGACACGGTTATGAGATGGAGCTGATCAAACGCCTCCTTCCTTGCCACCACATGAATCAGGACTTCAGGAGGACAGACGATAAAAAAAAAAAAAAAAAAAATATATATATATATATATATATTATATATATATATATATATATATATATAATATATATATATATACACGATAAGGAGCGGGGAAAGGACCAGGTGACGGAATTCTCGAAAGATCGCGGGGCTCTGTGATTTGTCTGCCTTCATTATTATGTCTATCGAATGTATTTACCGCGTAATTTTTGTCTATAACCATGCCACTGTTTATGACAAAGTCTGTGAGTGTTCCATACCCATAAGGACTTCCTTTAAATTTTCCATACGAAATGCAGATTATCATGATACAATTTTTCAAATGCTGAAATTGAATACGCAACAGTTATATAGAAAACTTGAGAGCCCCTTTAATTATTAATTATTATCATATGATTAATTATTATCATAGGGTCTATCACGCTATGGTTATTTGTTCTAATTAATGTCATTAATTTTATGAAATGACAACAATCTAAGATCAAGTCATAGACAAATTATTCGACAGTCGTGGAACACATCAGGCATTAGAGCTATAAAAGAAAATACGTTTTCTGTACATGCCGGTCCTGAAGTGCCATCTGGAATTGATAAAAATACATTTTCTTATTTCAAATGTAGGCTACATTAAGCTTGCAAGAAAATGGTAGAGAAATCTTCAAACGTATTCTGAAGAACGAATACAATATACTGTATACACAAGTAGGGATCAGTGGTGTGGCTCTGTAAGTAGTGAACTCTGGCCTCACACAACCAGCCAGTCCCAACCCAGTCTTCCTCTCGTCCATGGTCGAACAGGAGGATGTACAGGAAAGCAACGAATGGGGCATAACTACATCTTTAGAAAGCCGAAGGGACGTTATTTAGATTAGAGTCCCAATTCCCCTAGCAAAAGTAACAGAAACTTGTGGTGCACAGTGACTAGATCTTGTTTTTAGGGCCAGCTGCCCGTTAACAGGACCGAATGAAGTTGAGACAACAGGTACCTAAGCTTAAATGTCGAAGCAACCAGGATTTCTTTGCCAAAAGATATTGCAACTAGATTAGAAAAGTTCTAGTGCTCTGGAATACAGAGAAGCTCACCAGGCATACAGGGCAGATGTACATACTGCCTGCTAAGTAGAGACTACAATGGACTGACCATCAAGTGAAGATGCAAAACGTGAAACCACGGCAGATGTGATTTAAGTTACTAGAAAGGTCTGGAAGACTTTCTTGACGGTTGACCAGGCTAACTGATTTTCCCGCCTTGTGCTATCAAAAGATAAGGGAGCAGTTAAATGTTCAACTATGCCATTTCACTGTGAAAGTGTCTGGGCACCCTCTGGCATTACCTCTGTTTATGCCTTAAACCTGCCAAAAGTAGATGTCACACGACAGTGACCAGTCTATTCCACTGATGAATGGGTCACGTGGCCATATCATAATCATCATTCACCAACAATCAAATATAACACTTGAAGTGCTGACTTACTGCATGTATGTTATTATATTTGAACATTTATTTTCTTTAAACATTTCTTGGTGCAGTTAAAACGTAAATGAAAAAGGCTTACATATTTAAAAATTCTGCTTGGTATAGCCATACCTGGTCCAAGAATTCTATCATTGAACTATAACACTCTTTTGGTTGCTTGTACATGTTTGTGTGTGTGTGGGGGGGGGGGGTGTGTTGTTGTCTTATCTACATTCTGTTCAAAAAAAATTTTCTTTCTTTTTTCCAGTTAAGAATATGACGAAATGTTGGACAGGAATTCTGCTGGTGATGCTCGCCATCCTTATGCAGAGTGGAAGAGCTACTAAACTTGCCAATTCTCCTGGTGTCTCAAGCATTGAATTGGACAGTCGCTCTGAATCTGCGGAGCAATTCGAAGATGGAGCCACTTCTTCAACCTCTAGTTCTGTTTCACCATCTGAGAGTTCGGACAGTAGCTCTAGTTCTGTTACACCATCTGCGACTTCGGACAGTAGCTCTAGTTCTGTTACACCATCTGCGAGTCCGGACAGTAGCTCTAGTTCTGTTACACCATCTGCGAGTTCGGACAGTAGCTCTAGTTCTGTTACACCAACTGAGCCAAATACTTCCAGTGACTCTACAAACCCAGTTAGCTCCACAACAGATACCACAGACAAACCAACACTAACAGGTAAATATTACACTCATCAGTTATATGTCCTATTGTATGCATGGTGCTGTTAATGCCTATATTATATACGTAAGCACGAAAGTATGCATGTGTGTGTTCAAGGCAGTTAGCCAGTGGGTCTGGACAATATACAATTTCTTATTAATCTTATCCTTTCGATATCAATATGCTGGTATTGATGTTAGTGTCTAAAGTAGCCTGTGGACCTCCTTCACTGGCATTTTACAGTTTCAGTTATTATGATCCTTAATGATGATAATCAATGTTGATTTGAATAAGAGTGAGAGACATCACGCCATCAGAGTAAGTCCTGACCACATTGGTCTATATTACTGAACTTTCATTGGAGGGAAATTAGTGACAAAATGATTAACTGTTTATAAACCTCTACATAGGTCCAATAGTTTATTATATTGTCGTAGTATTGTATGCATGAAGGTATTTAATATTGGACAGAGATTCCTCATTTTCCACTTGTAATTTCGTAACCTATTTTGCAATTACAATTATGTCTTTTTCAAGAAACTCCATCCCAAGGTACTGAAAGCTGTAGGAGTAAGGGTTTACATATTTTTCTCCCTTCCATGTTATACCTTGTTATTCCCCTGTTGCACTTAGCACCCTTCTGGCTGCCTGAGTAAAAGACAGCAGTCATCCAAGTAATCCTTGCCAGTTCTTCCATAATGTCACATAAACCAAAATAAACTGAAGTGTGAAATGAGGAGGATCTGATCCACACATATGAAGTCCAAGTTTCACTCTTGTGTGTCCTATCTCACGAAAAGAAGAACTGGCAACTCACGAAGGAGAACTTCGGTTCATTTTCTTTCTCGTTCCCATGAGCTTGCGCTTGTGTTTACATGTATGTTAACTCCCAAACCCGGACCAAGAGCAGATGAAGAAATATTCGTGATTTTTGCTTATATGATATTACGTTATACTCGTTAATCCAGTGACTCTCAACCTTTATGGAGTCACGGACCCCTTGAAGAATCTAATGAGAACTATGGACCCCCAACTCCTAAAAGTATTCACGTAAACATAACTTTGCGTGCAATGTGTATAATTCACTTTTGTGGAATTCATGATGAACAGATTGCAACAGAAACAACGAAGGGAAGGGCAAGAAAACACACGAATATGTCAATTCGTGTGTTTTCTTGCCCTTCCCTTCGTTGTTCCTGTTGCATAATTCACTTTATTCATTAAGATTTGATTGTCTCATACACGTACGAGATACACAAACTATTATCAAACCTTAAACAGTCTTAAAAAATTATACTGATACAAATATAATTTTTATCTGATACTCACGGGCTCCCCAAAACCCTCATGGTCGACATGGTTTGCATGGTCATCTCCGACGCGCATAGTTCAAATCACTAATTCGTCGAGGAACACCAAACCTCTCGTGAGTTTTGAGGAATCTGATAATGTTAAAGGTCATTTACAAACGTGCCAGGAGGTCTGTTCCATATTATCAAGATTTTAGTGCGATTTTCAAGCTACACTTGCGTTCGTCGACATTCATCCCAATAATACAGTAATGGAACGAAGAAGCGTTTTTTCTGAAGTCAGAGGGGGCTAGGCGCGAATCTTTAATAATAATAAAAAACTATCGCGGTGTCGAAAAATGGGAAGAACAAGTTTTTTTTTCAGGAGAAAGAGAGGGAATGAGAGGGGGAAATAGTGGAGGAAGAGGGTGATAGAGGGAAACGAGGGCGGAGGGAATAGAAGAGAGAGAGAGATAGAAAGAGAGAGGGAGGGGAGGAAATAATAGGTTAGGGAGAGGATGAGAGAGAAAGAGAGGAGGGGGGAGGAGAGAATGAGAGTGAGAGAGTGTGTGTGTGGTGAGTGGTGAGAGAAAATTTACTATTTCATCTCTTTTGTTACAGGAAAAGAACTGTTTATACGTACTGAAGAAGTCCTTGGCGACATTGACCAATCTCTGAACATATTACAAGAGCTTTTCCTAGAATTGAGAGAAAAGCTGCATTCTGGCCCGCTGCACCACATCAGGTCAAAGGTCAACCGGTCATTTAGCCGGAAGGACGTCGAGACGAAAACGGATATATGCATTACAGACAGTGGGACTTGCAATACCATTGAAGAGTTGTTGTTAAGGATAAGTAAACAAACCAATGACTTAACAGCTAATCCTGAGGCTTGGGGTGACAGCCAGTTAAGCCAGCTGGAAATTCAGAGCAACGACCTTACTGAAGCAGTGAAGAACCCAAATAAGGATCATTTCAAAGAGGAAGAAACAAAGACAAGAATAAATGAAGTGAAAGGGGTGAGTCAGCATTAGGTTTTGTGAAGCTTTGTTCAAATGAAGTTGAAAAGAGGGGACACTCTCCTCCCTCTGCCGCTTGTAGCTTCTTCCGCTGCCTCTCTCTCTCTCTCTCTCTCTCTCTCTCTCTCTCTCTCTCTCTCTCTCTCTCTCTCTCTCTCTCTCTCTCTCTCTCTCTCTCTCTCTCTCTCTCTCTCTCTCTCTCTCTCTCTTCTCTCTTTCTCTATTCTCTCTCTTTCTCTATTTCTCTCTCGCTTTCTCTATTTCTCTCTTGCTTTCTCTATTTATTTATTTCTCTCTCTCTCTCTCTCTCTCTCTCTCTCTCTCTCTCTCTCTCTCTCTCTCTCTCTCTCTCTCTCTCTCTCTCTCTCTCTCCTCTCTCTCTCGCTCGCTCGCTCGCTCTCTCTATTCTCTTTTCTCTCTCGCTTCTCTATTTCTCTCTCGCTTCTCTATTTTCTCTCTCTCTCTCTCTCTCTCTCTCTCTCTCTCTCTCTCTCTCTCTCTCCTCTCTCTCTATTTCTCTCTCTTCTCTATTTCTCTCTCCTTTCTCTATTTCTCTTTCTCTATTTCTCTCTTGCTTTCTCTCTCCTCTCTCTCTCTCTCTCTCTCTCTCTCTCTCTCTCTCTCTCTCTCTCTCTCTCTCTCTCTCTCTCTCTCTCTCTCTCTCTGTCTCTCTCTCTCGCTCCCTTTCTCCCTCTCTCTTATTATTACCCTAAAGTCCTAAAGTCAGCGCCGCCTTTCCAACTCCTTAGGAAGTCAGCGAAGGGCGTCGAGTGGCCAGCGAACAGGTCAAGAGTTTCGAAGCAGCGGAGCGAGACAGTGTCATCTTTACGTCGGTGCTGGGGACTGTGGGCGGCCTCATGGTAGTGGGTCTGTTGGGCGCCGTGATCTTCGCCGTCTCCAAAGGCAAGAAGGTTTCCAAGAAGCCGGGAAAGAAGGGCTATAATCAGGTAAGTTTTGTTTTGTTTTGTTTTGTTTTGGTTCCGTTGGATTCGTCCGTTCGTTTGCTTGATTTTTTTTCGCTTCGTTTCGTTGGATTCGTTCGTTTGTTTACTTGATTTTTTGTTTTGTTTCGTTGAATTCGTTTGTTTACTTGATTTTTTTCTTTCGTGAATTCGTTTTTTACTTTTTCGTTGAATTCTTTCGTTTGTTACTTGTTTTTCTTTCGTTGAATTCTTCGTTTGTTTACTTGATTTTTTTTTTCGTTGAATTTCGTTTGTTTACTTGATTTTTTCTTTCGTTGAATTCGTTTGTTACTTGATTTTTTTTTTTGTTTCGTTGAATTCTTCGTTTGTTTACTTGATTTTTTTTGTTTTGTTCGTTGAATTCGTTCGTTTGTTTATTGATTTTTTTTGTTCGTTGAATTCGTTCGTTTGTTTACTTGATTTTGTTTGTTTCGTTAATTCGTTCGTTTGTTTACTTGATTTTTTGTTTTGTTTCGTTGAATTCGTTCGTTTGTTTACTTGATTTTGTTTCGTTCGAATTTTTCGTTCGTTTCGTTTGTTACTTGATTTTTTTTTCTTTCGTTGAATTCGTTCGTTTGTTTACTTGATTTTTTTCTTTCGTTGAATTCGTTCGTTTGGTTACTTGATTTTTTTTGTTTTCGTTGAATTCGTTCTTTTTTACTTGATTTTTTGTTCGTTGAATTCGTTCGTTGTTTAATTTTTTTTCTTGTTTTCGTTTGTTTACTTGATTTTTTTGTTTTGTTTCGTTGAATTCGTTCGTTTGTTTACTTGATTTTTTCTTTCGTTGATTCGTTGTTACTTGATTTTGTTTGTTCGTTGAATTCGTTCGTTTGTTTACTTGATTTTTTTTTTTTTCGTTGAATTCGTTCGTTTGTTACTTGATTTTTTTGTTTTGTTTCTTGATTTTTTCGTTGAATTCTTCGTTTTGATTTACTTATTTTTTTTTGTTTTCGTTCGTTGTTTACTTGATTTTTCGTTCGTTTGTTTACTCGTTTTTTTGTTTACTTGATTTTTTTTCTTTCGTTGAATTCGTTCGTTTGTTTACTTGATTTTTTGTTTTGTTTCGTTTTTGTTGTTCGTTTTTTTGATTTTTTTCTTTCGTTGAATTCGTTCGTTTGTTTACTTGATTTTTTTGTTTTTTCGTTGAATTCGTTCGTTTGTTTACTTGATTTTTTTCTTTCGTTGAATTCGTTCGTTGTTTACTTGTTTTTTTTTTCGTAATTTTCGTTCTTGATTTGTTGACGTTCGTTTGTTTACTTGATTTTTTTTTCTTTCGTTGAATTCGTTCGTTTGTTACTTGATTTTTTTTTTGTTTCGTTGAATTCGTTCGTTTGTTTACTTGATTTTTTTTTTCGTTGAATTCTTCGTTTGTTTACTTGATTTTTTTGTTTTGTTTCGTTGAATTCGTTCGTTTGTTACTTGATTTTTTTGTTTCGTTGAATTCTTCGTTTACTTGATTTTTTGTTTTTTTCGTTTCGTTCGTGTTTACTGATTTTTTCTTTCGTTGAATTCGTTGTTTACGTTTGTTTGTTTACTTGATTTTTTTCGTTGAATTCGTTCGTTTTTACTTTGATTTTTTTTCTTTCGTTGAATTCGTTTTGTTACTATTTTGTTTGAATTCTTTCGTTTGTTTACTTGATTTTTTTTCTTTCGTTGAATTCTTTCGTTTGTTTACTTGATTTTTTTCTTTCGTTCGTGTTTACTTGATTTTTGTTTGTTTCTTTTTTTCGTTGTTGAATTCGTTCGTTTGTTTACTTGATTTTTTTTCTTTCGTTGAATTCGTTCGTTTGTTACTGATTTTTTCTTTCGTTGAATTCGTTCGTTTGTTTACTTGATTTTTTCTCGTTGAATTGTTCGTTTGTTTACTTGATTTTTTGTTTTGTTTCGTTGAATTCGTTCGTTTGTTTACTTGATTTTTTTCTTTCGTTGAATTCGTTCGTTTGTTTACTTGATTTTTTCTTTCGTTGAATTCTTTCGTTTGTTTACTTGTTTTTCTTCGTTTGAATTCTTTCGTTTGTTTACTTGATTTTTTTCTTTCGTTGAATTCGTTCGTTTGTTTACTTGATTTTTTTTTTTCGTTGAATTCTTTCGTTTGTTTACTTGATTTTTTTTCTTTCGTTGAATTCGTTCGTTTGTTTACTTGATTTTTTTCTTTCGTTGAATTCGTTCGTGTTTTGATTTGTTCGTTGTTTACTTGATTTTTTTCTTTCGTTGAATTCGTTCGTTTGTTTACTTGATTTTTTGTTTCGTTTCGTTTTGTTGGATCCATTCGTTCGTTAACTTGTTTGTCGTCTGTTTCGTTGTTCGTTTGGTTATGTTATGTAGTGTTTGTATTGTTCAAGGAATGTATAACCGGGTAGGTCCAGTTCCATTATGCCTGTTGAACCACAAAATGAAATTTATTTTTTCCCTAAGAGCATTCTGACGACCGTTAATGGTATGGAACTCTTCATTTGTCGTATGTAAAGGAGGGGATTTATCGTTTTACTTCCGGTAACCATAACAATATCGAGTAAATTAATCAAATGATTATGTATGATTTATCTCCCTCCTCCCCCCCCCCCTTTTTTCTTTCTATCTCTATATATGTATTTTCTTTTCACGGACAGGTTCCCGAAGAAAGAATCCCAGTCGGCGACTTCATTCGCGCCCACGACAACCCTCCGCCCACGAGGAGTTCCCCCGAGGCTAGAAAGGACCCTGACGCCCGCGACGAATATGCCACGCCCTACGCACCAGCTGCCCCTGTGAATCGCGACCCTTACGCCCGTGGGAGGTCACCCGGGGAGGCTCGCTCGCATTACTCCCAGGGCAGGTCCGGTGGGCTGCCCAGGCGCTACTAGGGAAGGGTATAGATGAGTAGTTTTATGAAGAGGGACTTGTATAGGCCTTGGTACTAGGTGGGCGTTGGGGGTATCGCATTCGTGTTCTCTCTGTCTCTCTGTCTCTCTGTCTCTCTGTCTCTCTGTCTCTCTGTCTCTCTGTCTCTCTGTCTCTCTCTCTCTCTCTCTCTCTCTCTCTCT